TAATTTAAATAAACGTAGTGTAAGATTATATGATTAATACCAAATATAATCTGCTTGAATAATTTGTTTACTTTTATTTTGAACAACTGCACCTCATTAAAAACTTTTTTTTGGTCATGAAATTTAATTAATTAAGGAAATCTAACTACCACTAAAACCATCTGTTATCTAATAAATTACAATAATAACGTTAAAATCTTGACAGATTTTTTTTAGTTAAAATTAAAAATGCTCTAAATTGATTTGTCTAGCATTATATAAAATTACAGACAATTATTGTTAATTTTACAGAATATTATTTGTTACTAACTGAATTTAAATAATAATAATATTAATAGTTTCATCAATTTATTGATATATATTACATTAACTAATTTTGTTTTTGTAATAAATACCTATATAAAATTATGATCATATTTTATTATTATTATTATTTTTTATATGTAGGTATATTGTATGTAAACTTAATACATTGAATTTATGCGATACATGACAGTTATTTTTAAAGTATGATTTACCATAATATATGTACATAATATATAGTTTATAATTAATAACCATGATATATGAGTCGAAAATATGACGTTTATAGTATGTACCTGAGTGAGTTAAAAGGTAACTTTTTTTACTGACGAGATTAAATATTTAACACGAAGTATGCATTTGTATCCGTTTTACAAATGTATAAAACATGTCCTTTTAAAGAGTATCTATTTGACATAAAATTTAAAAAAAGTTCCATTCCTAATCTCGATATTTTAAACCAATAGCTATTACTTACACAGAAATAKTTTCAGTTTGTGGTTATTTATCATTGAACTAAAAATTATTAGGACTATTATATCCTATACTGGGTTTAGCGAAGCGAATAAATGGCCAATAGCTGGTCTCTGTAGTCTGTATATCCTGTCACGGCTTAGTTAAATAATGAATTTAATAACTAAAATCAATAAACATAGTACAAGAACCCACATATTGAATGAACCCACTAATGGATAGTCATTGAATGTGAAATGGATTTCAATGTTTTCACTATGCAATACTTGTATACTTTTATTTGATTTGTTATATTTAATAAAATATGTAGRCAGATTATATTAAGACGTACATGAACAGCGATCGTTTAAGTAATAACTTTTTTTTTAAATATATCGTTACTATTATTATTAGAGGGAACCCGCGTCAACATAGGCTATTGGGTGTGGGGTGGATACTATTAAGGGTTGTTTTTGTATATTTATGTTTGTAGGTATTTAAGTCGGTAGGGGGTTGTAACACGTATTTGTGTATGTGTGGCAAGGATATGTTGCTGAAAATCCCGGGTGGTCACCCATCCGGGAGGTGGCTACTGATGGAGCGTACCACCGCACCGGTCGATAACCTATAACCAAACTGGTAAGGTGCTCACTAAGTCACAAAAATATATTGATAATCATGGCGCAATATCACTATAAACTGTACACGAGCTTCAATTCAAAATAAGTTTTTTCATTAATAATAAAACACCACCGCTCGTGTTGATAGTATTTTATCGCTAGTTTAATAATTATTGCAGCCCATTAAGTAACGCCCAGTTTCGGACCTATAGTTATATCAGCTATTCTAATCAATGCGTGGAATCTGCGTGACTAAAAAGTAAAATCCGACACGAGTGATTAAGCTCTATAGTATAATAATTGTATATATTTATAGTATATTAGAGTGAAGTGTGTTGAGTTAATAAACAGTAAGTCTGTTTTAATCGTCTGACGTGCATTATACTATATCGTGATTGACGTTTACTCCACAATATTAATGTGTACATTTTTTTTTCTTTATTATTATATACACAATCTGTACCTCGTGGGTACAGAGTATTAGCTAAGATAAATAAAAATAATGTGTAAAATTACATTTATTTTTATTTTATTAACACATCATTTTTATTATAGGTTATTCGACAACCTATACATAGTTAGTAGGTACAATATAGGCCAAACAGTTAGAAAATGAATTTTTTTTTAAACGTATGTAGATACGATGGAATTACCGTCCATAGCGATGTTGTCTGAAGTGCTTCAGATAGTATAACAAAGTGTGTCGAAAAATAATTCTATTTTGATGGTATTATTTCGTTTATGCGTGGCATGATACATATATATTGTTACTGTTCAATGACTTTAATAATATTGTGTTACGCGTCGACATTATTTGCACGAAATTTAAATTATTCATCTTCTGTACAGTATATATAGGTACCTACCTACCTACATATAGATGCCCAYATTTTTAATGATATAACCGATGATCCACATTCTTTTATTAAATGCCAGTCATGTATATATATAACGACGTTTAATGTGACTGCCGCGTATTGAAAAAGTTTTTATTTTTATTATGTACTCGTTACTGATTTTCAAAAGAGTATATAATATTATGTACCTACCCAGACCGCTTTAACGATTTATAGTGCTATATACGCCTTCCAGTGACAAAGCGTGTCCGTTAAACCGGAAAATAATCATTCATATTATATTATATATATTTGTTTTCCGGATGACTGTTTATGCGTTACAGCAGCCGCAGTAATACATCACATCAAACTTAATTCAATCGTAGACCATATAATCTTTGCTAACGAGATTTTAGAAAAATATGCATTGCAAATATTGTTCAATAATTAAAATTATAATAACAAATCAAATTAAAACAAATACCTAGCATAAGTCTTTTCATTTCTTTTTTAAATAATTCAATAAATATTATAATAACAAATCAAATAATATACTGACAACGTGGAAATCATTTCATATATATATATATTATATTATTTTATTTAATACGAGATAAATGTACTATTTTTTTTTTTGTCATACCCATATCATAATGTGTGCCCATTATGACACATTCTATAATATATCGTATCAATACTATAAACCTGCACATTATTGAAGATGCAAATAATAATAAAGATGAGACAAATCACATTGTAATATATTTTTTTGGAAATGTATAGGAAATATAGAGATGTAATGACATTTTAAAGTCTAGGCAGAACGTAGTAATACAAAGTATCTAAAATATTAATATTAAGCAATTATTGCTTTCCAATGTAACCTCATAAATTTGTAGTAGCCAATGGCCCTAGATGCCGAGGCTTTTATTAATAATAATAAAAAAATAAAGTATCTAAAATATAAAGGTTTATGCGTTTACCCAGATACATGTACAARGACTTACTTATTATATATGTATAGATTAATCTGACAGATTTCATACAATTATACCTATATAGTTAAATATTGCATAACTTACAGTTAATATAATTACAAATTGTATCTATAATTAATATAATGCATACAATATCTTGTCATAGGATTTTTTGGCCATATTGTCCAAAGTTTCTCGAGGAAGTGTTCAAGAGAAACTCCATTGGATATTTGGATTGTATGATCTCAATAAAGACGGGGTTATAACAAAAAAAGAAATGCARGACGTAGTACATTCCATTTACAGCATGCTAGGGAGACATACTGACCCACAAACAGATGATCAATCTGCAAAAGACCACGTTGACCGAATTTTTCATGTAAGTAGCCTATATAAATTATATAATTATTATTTAGGAAAAAGTTAAAATGTTGAAGAAAAAAAAAAATATTTTAATTCTTTATTATAATCATCAAATTTGCCCATTGTACATAATATATGTTGTATAGATTACTTATAAATATAATTTATAATATATAATAAATATAATTTTTAAAAAAAATTCTATATTACTCTATATTTAAGTCTTCGACTATTATACTTAAGTTGAATTTTTTAAATTTTAAAATTGTTTATCAGGTATTATAAAAAAAACAATAATTAATTATAACTTTCTTATCATGTTATAATTATTTTCTTATATATTAAGTAAATATACAATTTTCTACACGATTATGAATCATGACAAACGCTTATTTTTATTTTATTTTTTTATTTTGATTCGGTCATCGTCTTTACTAATTGAAAAAATTAATATATTGCGAATCATGTTTTAATACATCGACCACTACTCAGACTGCAATACTCGTAAAATCCTAATTCATAAATTATAATAATAATCGTCATTCGGTATTATTTGTTCCAGTTAATTGACAAAAACAATGACGGTAACGTGACCTTGGACGAGTTGATCGAATGGTGCAGCCGGGACGAGGGAATACTCCAGTCGCTGGACACGTTGGACACAGTTTTGTGAAACGAGCCACGCTCGTCCGACGTGCGGGTGGGCACGAGAGACCGGGCGAGCCTGTTCAATTGGTAGACAGCCGAAACAAACTTAAATTATGTGGTGGCGAGAGAGAACAAAATTAAAAAACAAAAATACTAAACATAATACACAATAGTAAAAAATCAAAGGCCCCGCTAAGACGCCCACAGCAGTTATCATCGACCTCTTTTTGGCTTTTTGAGTGAAGGACGTCAGTGTAATTTTAAAATAAATTCTCGTTTCAATATTATGTGTCACTTATTATCACTACGCGTGTCCGTGATGTCCATTAAAATAATATTGATGAAATACCCAATGAGGCAATAAATGAGGGGAAAGGCAAAAGTCACAATATACCTTCGTATAATAAATGCCACCCACAYCTTCACGATGCACTTAATTAATTGGTTGTAAGACCTCATTATATTATGCGTGAACTGCAGTTTGACAACAAAGTAAAAACTGCTTGCGACTTGCGAAGAGCGTTTTTGTTATTGTTTGTAAGTGGCGGACAGAGACAACAGAATATAATTTTGTCATACGCTGATGTAATTTTAACAGTGATTGCTGTGCGGCCGTCGCTCGTCGATCGGATATAATAATAATAATAATATTATGATGCACCCAAACCGGAAATAATCGTATTGTTCTGTATTAATATATAATGCCATCACACACCACCACCGGAAACGCGCCTATCTGTATACTCCATACCGTACCTAACCGTTATGGTCTACTATTATTGTTATATGGTTTTTTTATGCCTAAATACAACACGTAATTTTAATACAAAATATTATTATGTATTTTTATCGATTTATTGACGTTTAATAGAATTTGCTGGAATAATATTTAAAACATGAGATAAAAAAAAATTTTAAACATATTTCTTTCGCCGTAAAAAAGTAGTCATACAATATGATATTTATATCGTCATTGTGAAGTTACTATAATACTTAATATTATAATAATTCTGTTTGGTACAGGGTAATCTAAAAAAGTGTCCAATTGTTTTTCCTATTGGATACATCAATGTTTTCAAGTTATGAATAATTATAATAATATATTGAAATCAAGCGAATGATAATATTATATAGTAATTCCTAATCTTATGTTCTATATATTTATTAATTTGTTTCTATTGTATTTGTTGGTATTGTGTTATTATTATTGTTATATCCACTGACAATACTAATAACTGTAAAAAACAGTAATTTGTTCTTACACCGTTCGATATATATCTAGGTTCTAAAATTAGTAAATAAGCTAATAATTCATAATTCAAATGACTTACATTGATAAGTTTTAATTGTTTTTCTTATTCATAATTACTAATTCTTCTTTGATATATTTGAAAAATTTTACTTCAAGTTATGAAGATCAACAAAAAAAAGTACTGTTATACTAAATATTTCTTTATAGTTCATATTTCTTACCTATACCTATAAATTATAGGTACAATATAATTATTAATATTCATACATAAATTCACCAATCGATAAAAGTAAAATTTATAAAATTTTATATTTGTTATCGTTAATAGGGACATGACACACATATCAAAACCAAAACTCAAATAATGTGTATTTACAATAGATAAAAAAAAATACAATATAAAACAGTTGTGCAATTATTGGTTTTATTGTAATGTATGTATTCGTAAGAAACAAAAAATTACAGTTTGATTAAATAAAATTGAATTATTTTCTTTCAACAGTTAATCCATGTAATGCTGATATTACATTAGCGAAAATACGAAATGTCTTGTAATTATCTATAATATCAAAACTCTTATTGAAACCGAGCAAAATTAACAACAAAAACAAACAATTAAATTAATTTRCATTACGAGTGATTATAGTAATTAATGTCCGTTAATTTTGTTTTTATACGAATTAATTTATAAGAAAAAAAACGTTTAATGTCAAACTTAATTTATTGTTTACCTCGCCCAATCCCCATGTATAACTAAATGTCTATATTATAATGAGATATTAAAATGATTTTGTGTTCGTATATATATATTATTACTAAATACTAATTTCAAACGTAAAATTGAATATATTAAACTATTAAACATAATATTACGTTCTACYGATAAAGTCGTTTGTAAAATTAACTTATTAATGTTACAAATATGTAAAAAGTTGATGTAGACAACAACTTACTGTTGCTTGTTGGAACTCTGTATTTTACTCAATGAAAATAAGYTATATTGAAATTGATAATTGTCCAGTCACCTTTTATGATTTGTATACACTAGGTGTATTTAATCTAATTTACCTTTTGATATTATTTATGTATTGTATATTTATTCAACAAATTAAAACACAACTTAATTTTTAAATTTATTATTATATGAATTTATTGTATTATTATTATTATTATTATTAAAAATGCATATTATTGTACCTATGCCTTTTGAATATTATGTGATGTTGTACTATTATATTTCAATAAAATTCATTGTAATTTATTGTAAATAAAAATTCTTCCATTACAATTGGTAATTTTGATAACTATTTAAAATCATTATTATATTTTAATTATATTATAAAATGTCTATATTAATATCATTGTTTGAATATTTCACATTATAGAATTTATATTCAATGTTTATACCGACAGTCAAAATATTGCCATCTATAATTACCGATCCCCAGGCCCGTACTGGCTACCTTTAAGGGGCGCGGGAAAAATATATTTATAGGGCGCCAACTATAATTATAAATATACCACTTCAAAGGATCGGCGATCCCATTTGAAAAATTATCAATAATAGTCTATAAGACAAAGCGCTGACAATCCAAACATGTCACACTAGAATGCCCCAAGTTCACCAGCTCAAGACAAATTCTCGGAAACCCATCAACAACGCAACAAGCACTTGGCGAAGAGAACGCCAAAAACATATTATACAATTTTTTCAAAAACACAGGCTTAGCAAAACTAATTTAGAAAAATAACCAAATGTACATATATTCTATAAACTCCCTGTATTGTTAAACATAATGTATCCCCATAGTTTTAAGACCAATACTCTATTACCACTATTTTGTAATATTGTTACATGCTAATAACCACAGGAGTTGAAGCCTTATTTAAATTAAAAAAAATAAAATAGTCTATAAGACAGAAGCTTGACCTGTAGGTATAGGACAGCGCTAAACATGACTATTTCGCCAACTCTTCTGAAAATCRTTATTAATAATAATAACAATGAATATAATTCAAAACTATTGAAAAGTAGGTACAACGTAGAATGTAATGAAGATTATTGATCAATTCCCCTTGAAAATTATATCATATTATATTATWAATTATTATTATTTTGGTAAATTGAATTAGTTTAAACTAACTTCAAAAATGTTTTCAATTAATCATCAGAAATTCGCAGTACCTATAAATATTTTATTGTTAGGAACATGCAGAGGGTTATTCGTTTATTTTAAACTTTGTCTGATATGTTAAATATTAGTTACTAACATAGTTATAAGGGTCTTAAGAAAAATATCATGACTTAATCTTTATTTTTTATACATTATTGAGTAACTACTATGGATATTATTATAATTTATAATCATATGGCTGGTAATTGTGGTAATGTGGTATCTATCTATATAAAATATTATAGCTGATGGACAATTAATATAGGTAGACACCTAGAATATTATTGAAAAAGAGCACTRAAAAATGAGTTTTACTATTGTGCCTCAACGGCGTACAATACTTAGCTACAAATTACAATTAGATTCCCAGAACTAGGAAGAACTTGTTTGCACGCAAAAATATGGTGTACAAGTAACCGCACTCGTTAACGCAATACTATTATATTATTATGTATTTATTCGTACCTATATACTTATTTTCCTGTGCTCCGTAATTATTTTTTAAACTGCRGTATAAGTACTAACTATTCATATTTACAAAAAATTGCATTACGTGTCAGAATTAATGTGTGTTTTGAAAAATAAACATACGTCAACGTACACGACTATTAACCTTCTGCAACTTGCTAGAAACTCGCGGCTTTAATTTTTTTTTTTTTTGTAAATACCCAATTTTAAATGTTTTTCTTCAATATAAAATTGCATGATGTTTATTTTATTCCTATAACCTTTTTTTGTTACTGATGACATTTTGATCAAAGTATAGGTTAAGTCGTTAAGTGTGACAAATGGCAATTAAAACTTGAAATAGTTTWACTACTTTTACTATAATACCTACAACTTATAAGGGTATGAGACTTTACCTAATTAATCAAATATGATATTAAATTAAATTGTATCATTAACTATTATACATTTATAAATTTATAATATGTTTTTAATTAAAATATTATCATGATGCGTCGACGTGGCGATAACTATTTGACCATATTATGTTGTATTTCCAATTTCCCATTCCCATGTGCTCGCAAATAATCTCTCGGCTGTTTATATTATAGGAACAACAAAGTTGATACTGAAAACGTTCCTACAATAAATATTTCCAAATTCTAAATAACTTGAAAATAATTGTATTACCTACACTTTTTTATAAAAAGCTACTTTTATGAAACATAATAATAATTCATATTTTTTTTATTGATCTCGAAAAAAAAAACATCGACAGCAAAGGCATTTAGTTGAATATTTCATATTGTATAATATTAATTTATAATAGTTTATGACAACCTTTCAAAAATATTATTCACTAAAATGTTTACACACCTAGCTAGGTTGTTTTACTGTAAGATTTCTCAGAAATCGTAAGTCCTTGTTTTTACGTGAATGGGTTTTCCCTAAGGCATGCATGGGTCTAAGAGGGAAAACAAACATTGCGTTTACAACCTTTAAAAAAATTCTGTTTCGAGTTTAATCGTTTTTTGGAAGTGGTACTGTATACTATATTATTATATGGTTGTATGAGATGAACAGATTTCTACTAAAAATGTGTAATCCACCATCTCCCTATATTTTTTTTTTTTTTTTTTTTTGAAACGGAATTTTGATCCATTAGGAAAATTTGATGGTAGTGGAAGAGAAAAAATGTTTATTTTTAATATCTCAAAAGAAAGAAGTAAATAGCCATTGGAACTCCGACTTGGTTATCTTCGTCGTTCATATTATTCTAAGCAACAAGTCAAAAACGGAATGAATAATACAATAAATATAATAAGTACCAAGTTGAATCGTTTCCAGTGAGGTTATAAAAGTTAAAAAAGCTTAACGGCAACAAACACGTCACGAAAGTCGAGCAAGCCACAAGGCGACGACAATGACTTACTTCAATTATTATTATTATTAACGAGAACAACAAAGCACGGTAATAAGTTTGCGTGGCAAAATAAACATAAATCAATTAATATTTTATCGTTGTGAGTATTAAGTTGTTCGTGTTGCCATTGCCGGCTAGTACACAACCAACAACGGCAACAGCAAGTAACAACCATCCAAACAGGTACACATGAGACAAAGTCATTACGTCTTGGCTTCTGTGGTAGCGGCGAGGTTGCGTTTGTACTTTACCGCCATATTTAAMAGCAAAACGACACTAACTGTGCGCGCTATTGCATAGACGTTGTACAACTTGTACAGTTGTACACGGTCGGTCACTGAGCGTTACGTCAGCGGCAGTCACAGTGCCGCCACGCCGGAAGAACCGAAATGTCTCACGACGAGGCCGGACAACGTACCTGTCCTCGCTTCGTGGAAATTCGCGGACGGCTTGCCGCTAAACGATTTCGGCCCTCACCTCCTACCATTCGTCCCCGCCATCGTTATAACCAACGGACGAAAACGCGGCCGGTTTGTCGTCGTCCACCGGTAATCAGTGCCGGCAACACGACGCGTCGATTTCGCCTGCACTGTAAAAAGTGGTGATACGAACATTTTTTTTAACCTTTCATTATTTACGTGAACTTTTTCGCTTTACGTATATTTTTTCCTGAAAAAAAAAATGGTGTATCTCGTTAGGCGTTAGTGAATCGTGTTTTGATTATTATTATTATTATTATTATTATTTTTTCGTTCGCTTGTTGTCTAAGTATCTTATTCGTACTTTATCCGCCGACAGTCTTACCGGCGTTC